CACTCCCAGATCTTCTTACACTGTTATATTCTCAGTGTTAGACGTTAAGTGCTTTCTTTAAAAGCCTTGCTTTTCTTCCAACCTCGCCTTCTGCCACATCATATTGTTTCATATTGTGTTAAGCATACTGATCATATTTCACACTTTTTCTGCTCTGATGAAGGTCGGATAGACCGAAAGCTTGCTAAATAAAGTGATATACTGAATGGACCAAACAAAGTATTGATTAATTAAAAATGATTCAGAGGTTAATCAATAATGAAAATAATCATTAGTTGCAACCCTATTATCCTCTCCAGTATCAAATAAAGGCAAAAATACCCCAAAATAATCTAAACCCACTGCTAATGTTGCTGCTACAATATCACAGCTGCCTCCAAACACCACCAGTAACATCACTGCTGTATTCAAGATACCTCAGTCAGGCCAAATCAGCTGATACAAGATGGATTATAGAGATTGGTCACAGTAGGCCTCCAGAGGCCCCGTGTTTGCCTTTGTCTAGGGTCTCCCCACATCCCAACACTGAACCTCCCTCCCAGTAGAGCCAGCAGCTGTCGATCCAAAATCCACCAGAAGAGGGCATTCACACACCAACTCATCCACATTCTTTACTGCTACTCAACAGTGTAACTGCTCACATGTATTGCATCGCTGGCAGGCCTCCCCCACACATCAGAGTGGGTAGACCTATGTGTATTGGACTGTTAGCAATCAAACTGGTTGTTATGCTGTTGCCTAATGTTTTATGCAGGGCTTTGCGCTAATCTCTGCCACTTAAGGGGTGGAAAAGTACAGGTGCCACTCAGCCACGAACAAGATCCTTTACAATAGTCCGTGCCAGTATTTCTGGCCAGGGCTATAAAGGGAGACAAACTGGTTTTCCCACCTCGGAAATAGCAGTTTTCCATACAGCATCACGGGGAGATTAACCCAAACAAAACCTCTATAAACAGTAACTCATGTGACGGCTGTGGGGATGGGGAGGTGGAGGAAGAAGAAGGAGCAGAAGAGAGAATCGTTCAGATTAACGGCGGGGGCAATAAACCCACTTGGCACGGTCAAATATGGGTTACATTTACTGTAGATCTAATATAAAATGTGAAACATGAGACACTTTAATTCCCTTCTCATATTATAACCTGCATGACCACCCAATCCCTTACTCTAAACTTTAGCCTACTTTAGTGAATGGAAGCGTGACTACCATAGGACATAAAACTATAAAACAACTGTTAGGCTACATAATAAAAAATGTTCCGTTGGGTAACGGTTTAAACAGTTATGATGGATCATTTGAATATGAAATCAGTGCCTAACACTGTAGTTACTAGTGCTTGTTCCACAGCTGATCTGCTCTGCTGAGTGTTCTCTCAAGGAGAGATAAACTGTTCACTGTATCATGGCAGAGCCTCTGACCTTGCAGTCTACATTATCCAGTATCTGCCGACACAACAACACACAGTAACCCCGGTGTGATTTATTACACCGGCTACAGGCTGCATGTTCATCTTCAGCCTTTCACCTCTGTGTCGACTGACTAATAAACTCAACAAATACAATAAGATAGAGGCAAAAGTGAAAGTTTTAAAAACGCTAATGACACATTTATGTACTAAATTCCACTAGAAAACTATGGAAATCTGGGAAAAAATTACTTTGAGCTATAAAAAAGGATGTAAGCTTAAAATAACTTCAACTTTGTTTCCAACTCAACTCTGCACATTAGAAACATCAGTCATTCAAAAAAAACATGTTCAACGCAGCGTTTAATACTTATTAACGCCATTATAGCTCATTTACATTTAATAATGCATCATTAAGCTTTAACCCCCAAACACGCGGATCAAAGTGGCCATTAAGCGCCTATAGTGCCGGGCGGCGCAGTAATATTTAAATTAATCGTAATGCGGCTCCAGGTGCGTTTAACTCGTATGTTTAAGAGTCCTATTCAGCCAATCAGAGCGAGGAGCGGGTCTTTTTCTTAATAAAGTAGTGTCTTACCTGTTCCTGTCGGGACGCTCCTCAGCAGGCAACGCCAGCAGCTGCTGGAGGGAAACCAGGCTGATGCAATACACAGTAAGCGGGAGAAGGGACCGCATCTCCGGACGCCAACTTTTACTGTACACCCTCTCTGGGAAGGAGGGGGCGACCACACGGAGTGGGCGCAGTTGAAATCCCAAGAGTGGGAAAAAAATGAAAAAACAATAATAATAAAGGGGGGAAAAAGTGTTCCCAAAAGATTGATGCTGGGTTCAGATATCCAAAGTTGCCAGTGGAGATTGCTGATGAAAGATCTGGAGAGAGCAGAAGTTATACATGATCAATTAACCTGCTGCTCATGGACCAACAGTGTAAAAGCAAAGAGAGAGCCAGTCCAAGCTGCTCCCATATTGCATTTATTCAGACACTTAATAAGAAACTGCTCTGAAAATATCCCCAGTGGACTCTTCATCAAAAACTCTGCTTCATAGCACCCATTAAACTTATGCACCAGATATAGACTTTCCTAACAATGCCCCAAAATGCACCCATAATCCATTCTGCACACACTTTACATTTTACACATTACATTTTATGACTAACTCTACTCAATACTGATAAATAGAAGTCTTACCTTCTTGGTATTTAGAGCTCAGAATCTGTGTTTATTTAAGTTTTTTCCCCCCATGAATCCAAACGTGTTGGTCAAGATCAAGTTCTCCAGTGTGAAGCTGTGCGCCTGCTGACATTGCGGGTTTAAATACTAAGTGGGCGGAGTTCCCTGACTGAAGTGCCGATGGGCAATTTTTCAGTGGCAAAGCCAAGGTGCTGTAACATCATTATCTGCCATGCTGGGAATATCCTGATCTGGCTGACACACATCAACCCTGGAAACACCCTGGTAGCTTCTGTAAATGATAAACTATATCAAATTGCATGATGTTGCTAAAGCGGCTGATACAGACCCTAAAGTATGCCATAATTACTATAAAGTGAGTATTGAGCAGCACAGACTCACTTTAAAGTATTATTGTAGAAATATTGTGGTGGCATTATGCAGTAAAGTAATGTAAATTCACTATTAAGCAAGTTCTATTTTCATAATGTATTGTAGTGATAAAATATGAGTTCTAAACTGTCATAAAATACATGAAAAGTCACACAGAAACCCCAATCCAGGAATATTTCTGTTAGCTCGGATGCTAAAGATATATAAACATTGTATTCATCACAGAGCACTGTGCACTATCATAACCAACCATGCGCATACTCAGGAAAATAGCCCCAATTTTCATTAATTTCACGAGCAGTTTGTCTTTCTGACCAAACCCGCCTCCTTATCTCTTATCATTACTGTCAGCCAAGTGTGTGAGATAGATAGACGGAAATGCAGGAATCTTCACAGAACGGTCCCACCATGCAGCATCATTGATAAACGTACTGATCGGAACGTTTCCTTCATTGCTGTATCACCGTTTACTGAAACAGACTATTTGTGTGATTATTTAGGGAGCTGTTACTGTATATCCTGCAAAAACTGTCTTAATTGTTACCAAACCATGACTTTATCACTTTCAGTTGTGTTTTGAAATCTGTTACAACAGATGTGGCTCTGATATGCCACAGGTTTAAACACGTATCTTACAACTCTGTTTTAATGACTCAGATGAGTCCTGTGCAGCCTATTTCATCTCATTAGTGAGCATATTTGTACTGTGTCCAAGTTCCCTCCTTCCTTTCTAACTCAATGCGGCGACACAGTAGTGATACATACACCTGATCTGATCCTGCCTCAAATGTGGTTACGCAACATTCATTTCCAAGAAAGCATGTTAAGCAGGTTGTCAGCAGTATAGTGGACGCCTCTCTTGGAATATTTATAGGCGAGAGAAGTGGCAACAGAGGCAGGGCAAGCAAAGCCAGACTCCATGAGGAATGTAAGTATGTGATGTTTGTTATTTGTCTTTTTGCTGACGCAGAAATCATCTCAGGCATCTAAATAAACAGCAGCAGGCCTGAACTGCACATGTAGTAAACATCAACATTTAGAAATATGGCTGACAATAAAATAAAAACTGAGCAACGACACATGTCATTTGGGGCGACCATCATTGTTTGGATTAGGCAACACAGGGACCCCTGGGACCCCTGGGTGTTTGTTCACCGGGAACCGTAACTCAGTTTTGCTTTTATTTTCAGTCATATGTCGACTATTCCAGGATTTTACACTTATTCAAAGAATTGGCATCATCATGTGTTTGTGTTTTATAAAAAGAGCAAGGCGGACGTGCCATTGCCTGGATTATGAATTTGGGGGATTTTTGTGTCTTAGATGATTCTAGAAATATGATTAGAACAGCAGGAAGAGTTTAGTGTTTTTCAAAGATTCTGCGGGTATTTATTTTTCAGAAATAGGGATGCTTGGCTCACTGACTGAATGTGGCACGGAGCCCAGTTTCTACACCTACAGGTTAGGTTTCGAGTTAAGTGGAGCAGCATCTTCGATTCAACTCCTCGAAAGCATTAAAGCTGCAGTAGGTAACTTTTATAAAAAATTACTTTTTGTCATATTGTGTGAAACTTTCACTATATCCTGACAGATAATCTGTGAAAACATCAGGTTCTTCTGGCTCCTCCTAGTGCTCCTAATGGTATTGGCAAGAATCCACCGGACCTGAA